ATTTAAACGACAATCTAACTTATTCTGTTTGAAATTCTGTATAAAATAAAAATATCAAGAAGTATTTCCAAGGCAAAACACAAACATGACTGCTGTAACATAAATCTTCAGACAAGCAAGCAAACTAAAGACTTGAATGCACATACGTATTAAGAGATATGATACTGCACAGCAACAATGAGCATTAGAGTGTTTTGCCACCACAGCACTGCTGTGCTGAGACAATAGTGCTTCATAAAGTGTGAAATTACAAGTGCTTTCCTAAGATTAATTATCTCTAATTCAGGCCTGAAGTAGCAATCCACTGACAATGCACAATGAATAATGAATGTTAAGTGCTAGATAAAAGGATTCATTGTCTGAATCACTAACACAGGGGTCTCCAATTTTGGAATGAAAAGGAAAGAAAGGTGGAACAATGTACAGCAAAAAATGTAATGAATCTAGAATTTTGCAGAAGTACACAGTTTCACATCATATTTTACATTTTGAGTAGCTAACGTTTACTTAAAAAAAATCTCAAAGTGAACTCATACAGACTTACAGTCACTGACTTTAGATATGTACAACTCTTTTGCCCTTTAAGGCTGTTTTGTGAGCATTTATTCCAGTATCTAGCAGTTGCTTATTTCCCCCCTGGAAAGGACGACAGGACTGCTCATTGCTCAGCATGCCACCTCACAGCTCAGGAGGGAGTGGATGGTTCTGTTCCAAGGGTTACCTAGGGTGGCAGCAGTGGAGATGTACTGCTTCTTCCTCAGGCATCATCTCTCAATAGAGTTTGGACCTCAGACTTCACACATGTTAAGAAACTTATCCAGAAGCTCTTCAAACTTATACTGCTTTGTTCATCTTGCCTGACGTTGCTTTGACTGAAAGTGTAGTTTTGGCATTAATGACAGTGAAGTAATGAAGATTTGGGTTTTAATTCTGGTTTTATTTAGGTAATATTTCAACAGCATCTTAGAAACAGAGTTCCATGGAAAAAAGAGAACCTAATTATCAATACTGCTTCCCTAATTACAAGGTGGCAAACCACACATGGGAGGATGAAGCACAAAGGGTACAATGAGAACAAAAGACCCAACATACTATTTTGTTTATTCTGCTGGTTGAATTACTAGAAAGAAACTGCAAATTAAACAGTTTTCACCCTGCTACATATCCTACTGGAAACCAAATCAAGAATACTACTACTTCATGTCATCTGGGCTCAGCAGTAACTACAAATTCAGAAAGAGTGGTTTCTGTCACCATCTGCTTGTCCTTCCTCCCACAGCATCTTACTGCCACTTGCTTCTGCTCACATTTAGTTCCACAAACATACATTTTGTACACATTAATATAACATTTATCAATATTGTACATATTTCAGCCAAATAAAATTTTAATAGCAGAAAATAAACACTCTTGTTGGAAAGCTTCATAAGAACTCAAAACTGGCAATCCTTTTGGAACAAATAATGGCCTGACATCCAGTAACTCTTTAAAGAGAGGATAACTGAAGAATTCCAAGTCACATCAGCCCTTGAAGGTAGACACAAACTTGGGGAACCACTGACTGAACGCCATAAAGAGAACAGCTATACATCCAACCCAGTCAGGAAATCAAAACGGGGAAGAGGTGGAATGGACACAGCTTGCAAGATCAGAGAGGAAGGCATGTAGAAGTTGACGTGAGATGAGAACGGGCAGAAAATGGGTAAGTAGAAGAAAGTCCAGATCTCAGTTACGTTATTTAACACAAAGTATAGCACTTAGAGACACAGTCTCAATGTGAAACATGGAAAGTAATATCCATGCACAGGTCTAAAATAGAGAGAATAGAGCTCCTCCCTCATGACAGAAAGAAGCATTCTTCCGGTTTTGTCCATGCTGAGCTTCCATTAATGAGGCATCAGAAAAAAGGTAGTAATTTGAATAAAAGACAACATGACTGAAATTAGAAGTAAGAAGCACCATTATAGATCAGACCCAAGGAGTTCCTCTGAAAAGCAATCACTTCTCAAATGACATCTATAAAACCCAATTTTGTAGTCAAATTAACTATTGTGACTATATTTAACAAAAATATTTCTAGGGAATCTTAGGGAAAGTCACAGAAGCACAGTAACAATTAAGATGGCCTTCTGTCCAAACAGAACAGCTTTAGATGTCAACTATGCAAGCTGAAACAGCTGTGCCAGACACTCAGTGATGCCACGAGCCTTTTGAACTCTGCGTAATATTTCATCATATGCTTAGGAATTGTTTTCCCTTACAGGTTAACCAACTCTCACTTTCCATTCAGATAATGGTCCTCTACATACATCCAGCCTTCATATGGAAAGTGATTTTACACATGCACTGGGCAAGGAAAAACCAACAGCATATGTTGCATATTTTAAGACAAATCGGAACGCTATCAGGATAAAGCCATTTGAGAGACCCACAACTCTTTAACCCCATTTCCTACCAACCACTAAGTATATTCTTAGAGATTTATTAAATGATTAAATAA